GAGCAAAGCAGAGCATGTTACCTTCAGTGGGGACCTGGACAGAGACACAGCCTGCTGGGGACCAGAGATAGAGTTTGGTGTTGGCTGTACACAGTGCCAGCCGTGGGCGCCGGGGGTCCCACTGAAAGCAGCGCACAGCTGATGTCTGCTCCAGCACAGCCTCCAGGCTCATCTTCTGCATGTCCCACACCCACACAACACTGGCCATGTTGTCTACAGTCAGAGAAACACAGATACACACTCAAAACCACTCTCAGCTTATAGAGCTCTGAAGCATTGCAGCACAAATAGTCAAAACAGTTTTTCTCAAACGCTTTGATGCAATTCTTGCATCAGAAACGTCACTCTTCACTCCTCACGTTCTCAAAACCTCATCATATCCCCACACACATTAGAATCTCTCATTTGTACAAACTTCTATTGTATCCACACATAGTTCACTACTAAAGACGTTTTCTCATTGTATTGATGAATTTCTCATCCGACTCTGACAACTCATGAAAACAGTTTGTACCTTCATCAGATAGAATGACAGACCACTCACTCTGATAAGGCCCTGCATTGTGTGTGTTTTCAATCAAATCTCTTTAAAATTTCTTCAAATATGTATGAGAGAGCAAGACCTCTCTCTCACACATGCGCGCACGTGCACGTGCGTGCATGCACACACATGGTGATCTCAGTCCAGACTGTTCTCATCTGTGGTTCCCTGGATGGTGGAACAAACTACCCAATCCTATCAGAGCAAGGGCGTCCCTCTCTATCTTCAAGAATCCCTCGAAAACTCATCTCTTCCAAGAGTAGATCCTTTCCTAAAACCCTAACATGTCTAACTATTACTAACTGTGCACTTTTGGTGCACTTCATTAAAACAATCTCCTTGCACTTTTTAAATAGTACTTATATGTAGTACTTAATATTTACACTAAGGTTCCTACTGCACTGAAGCTTACTAAGTCGCTTTGGAGATATATATATATATATATATATATATATATATATAAACACACATACTGTATACTTACATATATACACATATATATATATACACATACTGTGTGTAGTGGGAATTCACTGTACTATAATTGGTGCTATGTTTACGTTTGATTGCATATTTTTCTTTGTCTATTTTCCGATGCATAGTTCCATGGTTAGGGTTAACCTTTTTTTTTTTTTTTTTTTTTTTTAACTGTTTTCACCAATTTTCTAACCTACNTACGTCTCATTTTTTCAAAACTCTACACAAAAAAACGAAATTGCACACAAAATGCAAAGTACCTCATATCTGCTGCAAAACTAAACACTGCATTGAAAATATCATAAACACATCTAAAAATCAAATGACCAACACTTTTGTCCTTATAGTGAATTTCTGGATACACCATGTTCTAAATCTAAAGCTCTTCTGTCTTCCATAGGCTTGTATATACATTTCCATACAGTGCTCTAAAGGGACAGTGCAGTAATCTGCTGAGAGGGGTTGAAATGTACACAGTACAGTAGACACCAATGCAATATTGAAACAATAGTTATTTTCCAAAATGCTACTGTTGTCATATATAGGTAATAGGTTAGGTTACTGTTAACATATATAGGAATGTATGTAATACAATACCAATACATATTGTACAGTAACACTGGAGTAGCCATTAGACAGGTGCATATCTCTCATCTCTGATGGATGCCACTGTAAACTGACTCATGTTGGGTTGGACTCAGTCCAGCCTCTCTCATAGTTAGAGTATATTATTCACATTTCATTGCTGTGTCTGAATATTTTTTACTTTATATTTTTTGCAGAACNTATTTTTCTTTGTCTATTTTCCGATGCATAGTTCCATGGTTAGGGTTAACCTTTTTTTTTTAATTTTTTTTCTTTACAACTGCTTTCACACATTTTCTAACCTACGTCTCATTTTTTCAAAACTCTACACAAAAAAACGAAATTGCACACAAAATGCAAAGTACCTCATATCTGCTGCAAAACTAAACACTGCATTGAAAATATCATAAACACATCTAAAAATCAAATGACCAACACTTTTGTCCTTATAGTGAATTTCTGGATACACCATGTTCTAAATCTAAAGCTCTTCTGTCTTCCATAGGCTTGTATATACATTTCCATACAGTGCTCTAAAGGGACAGTGCAGTAATCTGCTGAGAGGGGTTGAAATGTACACAGTACAGTAGACACCAATGCAATATTGAAACAATAGTTATTTTCCAAAATGCTACTGTTGTCATATATAGGTAATAGGTTAGGTTACTGTTAACATATATAGGAATGTATGTAATACAATACCAATACATATTGTACAGTAACACTGGAGTAGCCATTAGACAGGTGCATATCTCTCATCTCTGATGGATGCCACTGTAAACCGACTCAGTCCAGCCTCTCTCATAGTTAGAGTATATTATTCACATTTCATTGCTGTGTCTGAATATTTTTTACTTTATATTTTTTGCAGAACTCTTTTTCAGAAAGCCGGTATGGTTTTTATCAAGATATCAAAACATTTGGCAT